GTTGCAAGGTTTACAAATGATCTTTTTTCTCTATTTTATAGTGACTTCCCAGCTAATATACTTGGATCTTTCCTTATGGGATGGTTTGGGTTTGTGTTTAAACCCACCATCTTGGAATTCTCGGAGGAGTTAGCCCTCGGGCTTACTACGGGGTTCTTGGGAAGCCTCACCCACCTTCAGCGGTTGGATCCGGAAAATGCTCACTTTAACAACCCAGGGGCAATGGGTGTATGGTCTTGTGGGCCTTCCATTAGGTAACCAGTTGAATACGAGAAAGAAATTCATATTTATTTTCTGCGACTGATGCAAAGTTTAAAAGACATATCCACTTGAAACCATCTAGATATACCTTTTCTCTCCATAATATTCTGGCAATTTGATGAAGAGTGCTTTTATATATGGGGAGGTAACATATTTTATTGTCTGTTTAGGTTAAGATTGGAAAGTACCATCACATGCTTTGCTGATCAGAGATGAAACTTAGAATAAAGTAGAACTATTTTGCCTTGCAGTGCATTTTGAAGATAAAACGTATTGTAATATTTGTTTTATGATTGGAAAGTACCATCACATTCAACAGGCATGTGGATCACGATTGATGCACTATGGTTTGGCATAGCGACTGGAAAGATATAGGCAATTCATGGATGCAATATGGTTTGGCATAGCGACTGGAAAGAAATTGGGGCAATTCATGGACCATGAAGGCCATTACAAAACCTCTTGCTTTGATGGGAAATGTTGGGTTAAGAGCTGTAGGGATAAGATGGTAGCCTTTGGCATAGGGGTAAGCATTTTCCTTACTTGTCATAGGTCCAAGAAATTAGGGTTGGCTTGTTGTTTGGCCCACTTGATGTATGGACTAGATGGTTTCTTACTCGGTTTAACGGTAGAGGCTTTGGGCCTAATCAGCGCCTAATGTGGATTCCATGGGGGACTTTACTTGCTAATGTAGTTGCTGCGGGGATTATGGTGCCTTTATCCGCATTGAACATAGCTGTAAGTCTTTGAGGTTGACCACTTATTGTTCATCAGTCATTCTTTGCCTATATTATGAGGTTTCCAGAATAATTGGGATTGTGAGAAAAGTTCCTACCAAAAAATGCTGTGTTTTGAAAGTCATTGATTTTCTTGATACTGAGACCTGTTTTCTCATGGCCAAGCAGTTGCCATTTTCTGCTCCAGGGGAAGTATGCTGTAACTCAATGGACGGTGAAAAAAAAAAAATCCTGTATTATAACTGCCCATTGAAATGGTAAGTGAGAGAGTGGTACTCAGTAGCTGGGGCGTACCTTATTCTAGGCGTCTCACTCTCTCTATAACCATCCGTCATTTCGATGGATGGTGATTACCCAATGGGCTATGCCTCTTTCTTTCAGGGCCTGTTGATTTATGGTATACTTCCTGTTTTATTCAACTGGGTTTTGCATGAGAAGTTTGAGTCCAACTCTCTTTCTTTGGCTGAAATGCGCTAGAGATCGATGTTTTTGAATCTTATATATGTGCAATTTATTTTCAGGGTTGGTAAATTGTGCATGCATTTTGCAGAAAAAAACTGAACATTATCAGACTGTTATAGAGGTGCTACAGCTTGGGTTCTTGGGCTGTATGAGCACAGTCTCGACATTTGTTGCAGAATTTTATTCCTTGGTTGAGAGCGGCCATGTTTGGAGAGCTTTTGGGTATTCGATTTTTAGTATTGGATTGTCATTTGCTTTGGGGACTTTGGTATACTCTGTAGCTGTTTGGACCAAGGGTCACGCTTTTACAGATGGAAGGTGAACCATAGGATTATTGCAAAACCAATAAGAACTCTCTCTGCTATCTACCACCAATTTTCATTGAAATATGTCTGGTTTTTGAGACCTCAATGAGAATAATGTCTTACCAATTTGCCCATCATCAATTTTACCATCAACAAGGGGTGCCACACCCAACATGCTCCTACCATTAGAGACTCTTAGAAGAATGGGAGCTTTTACAATTAGAAACTATATTGAAATTGTATGGATTATGGACTGTGGGAAAAACGTCATTGTGGTCCTCCAAAATGATGAACTAGTCATGGACACACAGTTACCATTAGTGCATTAGTTCAATCAGCAATGACAATGTTCCTGACCATCCGAACTTTGGCTCTCCCCTAACTGACTGTGGCTGCCTTTTCCCTCATGCATGGGACTGCATATTAATTGTAAACAATGCAAAACTCTGGTCCATTGGGTCATCACAGCCCATTGAAATGATGAGAGATGATGAAGAGAGTGGAGTCGACTCTCGTGGGCGCAGCCCACTATATTGCTCAACCACAGTCCAATTTGTCCTTAGAAGTTGCCACCACGGGTTTTCAAGAGGCCATTGAATTATAGGAAGGCATACAAATATGAATGTGTGAACTGGTATTAACTGCATTGATGAGCTTAACAACATAAATCTTGAAAACATTTGTTTTGTTGTAAGACTTACCTAGTTGGCAGAGTTACATGAGTACTTCAACATTCTTATTGTGTCGCGTTTTTACCTGTATAACAGTGATGACATGGTCTCAACATGTTGTCCATATATGTGTCAGATATTGTGGTTGGGGAACGATCATGTGTATTTTAAGCCTCAACATGTTGTCCATACATATGTCAGATATTGTAGTAAGGGGAATGATCATGTGTATTTTAAATATTACTGACTTGCAGTGTATTGTATTCTTTTTGTCCCTTCATTTTGCAAAATGCCATTTACCCCAATTCTCTCTTTCCTGGTCTTTTTGAAACTCACTCCCAACAACACTCATCATCCTGCAACTACAAGATCGAGCTTCATACCAACTCGAACATCAATTGACCAGAGTGAAGGACATCTCTTTTCACCCTAACATTTTGCAACTCTAGGACTGCTTCCAAAGCACTGATCCACTCTATGTAATGATCCAGTTTTGTCTTACAATACTATCTAATTTACGACAAAAAATATTGCTCTGTAAATTTATGGAATTGAATTTAGAGAAAATTATGGTAATATCCGTTATAGTTTCCATTATTACGGTTACACTAAATAGTTTTCGTTATTACATCCCTGTCCATTTTTTTCATCTCATAACGGAATTTTTTAAAAAAGATGACTTTACCTTTTTTCGGGTGTTGAAGAATCGAATTCAAGGGTTTTTAGGTTGTTCAACAACCGAAAAAGGGATTAGCTTGTTTAAACTTCTCGCTATGGTTTTATCGAAATATATTTGAATTCAGGTTTTCAACAACCGAAATTACAATTTCCGGTTGTTGAACAACCGAATTTACAATTTTCAGTTGTTTAACAATCGAAATTGTGCGGGGCTCGTTTAAAGTTCCTGGATCTGTTTCTTTTGCTTTGTCGGTCTAGGTATTTCTCATTCCCCCCATTTCTAACTGTCTCTTACCTTTGTGATAATCAAAATAACATATTTAGATTTGGATACAAGTATTTGGATGGATCATAACTGCATTTGACGTATTTTGAGGGCATTTGACGAATTTCTAATATGTAGTGAGGGTATGGATAATCTCATTTCTTGTTCGATTTTTAGAAGCTAACATTGTATAAGATTATGATTTAGGATTTCATACTTGAGTAGAAGCGGTCGATTTAGGGATTATTTAATAGATTTTACAGATTCTTTGATGACAATTTCTTTTAGTGATAGTTGGGATTTTTAAGAAGTGCAATTATTAGGGGTTTGTAATAACTGTAAATTTGTGGTTATTTTTAGTGTCTTGAATGTTATACATTAGTTATTGAGTTATGTTTATTCTTTATTTATTGTTTAAGAATTTTTAAATTTGGGGTTACTGAGAACTACAAATTTTGGGGTTTTATTATAACTCGAAATGAAATAACCTGCAATTTGAAATCAATAGCTTAAGATAGCTAAATGTGTTGTTGGATGTTGCCTTGTATTTGAAAATGTATAATTTATGCTATATTGGGTTTGCAATTTGCAATTTGAATTGAGTCGTATATAACTGAAAATTTTGGGGTTTATCTGTAGTTGAATGGGTTTGTGTTTTGTGACTGTATATAAATGAATCCATCTGTAATTTGAAATATGTAGCTTTATATAGCACCTTATGTTATTGGATGTTGCATTTGTCTTTGAAAATGTATGAGTTATGCGATGTTGGACTTGTAATTTGAAATGAGTAGCTTAATACAGATGGTTGGATGTTACTTTGTGTTGTTGAATGTTGTTATTTGTATTTTGTTGTAATTAACATTTGAGTTATAATAATGCAAAAAACAATAGTTGTCTTTATTTCTTTCCCTTTGAACCAATATCTTAGTTGTCTGAAACGGTGCCTCAGTTGCTGATTTCTTTGATTTCTCATAGCTATATGGGTTTATAAATGAATGGGTGTGGGTTTTGTAAGTTGAAATTTCTTATAGCCTATATTTTGAATAGGTACATAGATGGTACAAAGATGAATAGGTACAGAGATGGTATAGAACACTGTTTTGGTTATCATATAAGAACAAAATTTTTGCATTCATTACTTCATGCCTATTCCATTGTTAGTGATATATGATTTACTGATATATGGATTACATATGAGTTGCAAATGTGTTAGTAACTCCATTTATAGTTTGGCTTGTTATTTACCTTGAATATTTTGCAAATGCTTGTGGGTTTAAGAGTACATA